GGGGTTGGTATTTGTATTGGGATTGCATTAAATGTGTAAATTGCTTTTGGTAGTATTGCCATTTTCACAACATTGAGTCTTCCTATCCATGAGCAAAGTTTAGGGGGAAAGTTGGATTTTAGGGAAAAGTTGGATTTTCATTCATTCATAGTTGCACATTTTCCTCTCTAACCCCAGTTCACATTTTAAATTGTGGTTTTATTCTAATTGTGATTTTAACAAAAATCTACAGAAAAATTGGATTTTCATTCATTCATTGTTGCATATTTTTTCTCTCCAGTTCACTTTAAAAAAAGATCTTCATTCATTGTTGCATAATTTCCTCCCTCAACTTCCCAGTCCACTTTGCAAAGTACCTCTTATTTCATATAAATAATGCCTAATCATATATTCCTCTCCAGTTCACCTTTAAAAAATATTCATTAATTGTTGCGTAATTTCCTCCCTCACCCCCACTCCACTTTGCAAAGTACTTTTTATTTCATATAAATAATGCCTAGTCATATATTCCTTTTAAACAATTCTTTCCTTCATCTGTCCCAATGCAGTGTTCATTATCTATACATTCTTTTCCTACTTTCCACTCTAACCCCTCATGTCAGTTCTTTTTTATAACAGTGGTGTTATACAGTATTTGTCCTTTTGTGACTGAGATCTTTCACTCAGCGTAATGTCCTCCAGAGTCACCTATGTTGTGTAATATTTTATGAGTTTCTTGTTTTTCGAGGCTGCATGGTATTCTATTGTGTGAATATACCATCGTTTTTCTGTCTTTTCATTTGTTGATGGGCACTTGGGTTGCTTCTATCTCTTTGCTATTGTAAACGCAGCAAAAAACAGGAGTGTGCATACATCTGTTTGGGTGGCAGCTCTGGTTTCTTTAGGGTATATTCCCAGTAGTGGAATTGCTGGATCAAATGGTATTTCTATTTCCAACTTTTTGAGAAAGCGTCATACTGCCTTCCTCAGTGATTGTACCATTTTACACTCTCACCAGCAGTGAATAAGGGTTCCAGTTTCTCCACAACCTCCCCAGCGTTTGTTGTTTGCGGCTCTGTTGAACTTTGCTATTGTTGCTGGGCCATTGTTACTTTTTAAGACTTTCAAAAAGATTCTACTGTTCAGCAAATATGAGGGCCATGGATTTAAGGGACAGGAGAGAGTCAGGTGTTGAGGCTGAATGATAGACAATTTTCTAATTCCATTTGTGGTATAGCGGCATGTCAGGACAGGACTGGGAAGCTCTGTTCACCTGTGGCTTTGCAGGGATTTAAGGTGAAGGTGTGGCTTCCTCTCATCCACGTGGAAATATAAGGGAAAATGAACGAGGGCTGGAGTCTGCAGGCAGGACTGCATGTGCCAGGCGTTCTCGGGAGATGTGCACCCTGTGGAGTGTGCATCTGCGCAAGCTTCCTTTTTGACTTGCAGGACAAGATGGCAGCAGATGAAGGCCTGCAGGACACCTTGCGGCAGCAGTTCAAGGCGCTGCAGGAGATGCAGCAAAAACGGCTGCAGCAGGAGATGGAGAAGAGGAGGGAGAGGGAACTCAGCAAGGTCGACGACAACAAGGACCTCCTGGAGACCTTCGACAGCTTCAGCCTCCTCCACACGGGGCAGCAGCACTCGGAGGACAGCTTCGAGAGGAGGTGAGGGTTGCGCGTACAGATCCGGTTCAGTAATCGGGTTGACTGTTGTTGTTATGTGCCGTTAAATAGTGACCCTCTGCACAATAGCCCTGAACCTCACCCTATCTTGAGTCAATCTCACTGCCTCCGACAAACCTACCCCTATTACCCCAGTTACTGTGTCAATCCATCTCATCTAGGATCTTCCTCGCCTGAATTGTCCATCCAAGCATGATGTCCTTTTCCAAGGACTGGTCCCTCCTGGCAACATACCCAAAGTATGTGAGATGGAGCTTCAGAATTCTTGCCTCCAGAGACTAAATTGGTTTCCCCTCCCCCCCTCCAGGACAGACCTGTTCTCTTGGCAGTTCATGGTATATTCAATACTCTCCTCTAGCACCACAACTCAGAGGCAACGATTCTTCTTCTGTCATCCTTATTCATTGTCCAATTTTCTGATGTATAGCAAGTAACTGCAAAGACCATGGCCCTTGTCAGGCACACCTTAGTCTCTAGGCTGATGTCATTGCTCTTTAGCTTTCTGGAGGGTTCCCTAATGGCAGGTTTTCCCAGTCCAGTTCATCTTTTGATTTTCTGACTGCTGGCGCCAAGAGTGTTGATTGTGGGACCAAGCAAGCTGAAAGTGTTAACAATCTCCACGTGCGGAGACCCAGGGACGCAGGGCTTGTTAGTGAAGCCCCTCGTGTCCAATGGAAGGTCTTTGCTCCTGTGGATATAATTTGATGTGAAGTGGATTGAGAAAGCATTTCAAGCCAAACTGAGATTCTGAGGCTCATTAAAATGTTATTCATGCATGCGACTTTGTTTTGCAGTTTCTGTCTCATGGAAACTACCCTTGAGTTTCCAAGGAGCCCGTTGGCTGACTTAGTGGCTCATCTATGATCCTCACTCCAGATTTCATCTGGGGTCCTTTCCCCTTTCCTGACACATTACAGCAATAAGCACATCTGTCCTGAGGAGCTCTCGGTGAATTCCTGCCTTTCCCACCCCCAGAGGTAGTAAAAAAAGTTGGAGGGAGTCCACAGTCTTCTCCATTTGCTCTAAATTTACAGTATGACGCAGATGATAGATGCATATGGATTTCTACTGATTATTAGGAGCCAGGAATCTGTATTGATACAAAATTTCCTGAAAAGTCACCCTTGTGTCACATTTGTTTGAGGAGCCCTCACGGCACAGTGGTTTGGGCTGCTAACTGAAGGTTGACTGTTTGTATCTCACTACACACACACCCTCCCCACACATACCCACACACACACCACCGGAGGCTCCCAAGTGAAAGATTAAGCAGTGTGCTTTTGTCAAGAGTTATAGCCTCATAAGGCAGCTATAGTGGCAAAGAAGCTGCACTGCAATACCGAAGGCACACAGTTCGAGGCCACCAGCTGCTCTGCGGGAGAAGGATGGGCCATCTCCTCCTGTGCGTTTAACTGCCTCTGAAAACCCGCTAGAGGGTCAGCTATGGATCGGTTCCAACTCTATGTATACAACAACAACAGCCTCATAGCCCTACGGGGCAGCGCTGTTTCATCTTTCTGGGTATCTGTGAGTCAAAAGAGGGAGTTCTGTGGCCTCACGTAAGAGTTGTACTGTCAACCCTAAAGCAGGCAGTTCAAGTCCACCATCTGCTCCACGGGAGAAAGATGGACAGTCTCTTCCTGTGCGATTTCCAGCCTTTAAAAACCTACAGGAGAGCCATGCTGGGAGTCGGTTCTGACTCAACAGGAATGAGGGAGGGAGGGAAGGAAGTGTCAGAATCAACTTGACAGCAGCAGAGTTAGGCCTGTGACTTCTATTTCTCATGTACTTCTTGAGCTGTCTTTGTGGGAGCCTATGTTGTGCCTAACAGGAGAAATGTCTAAAAGTTCTGGGAAGTGTGGTGTCAGGGCAGAGGAGTGGTAGGGAATCTCAGCGGAGGGGCAGCCAGAAAACTTTGCAAAGGCAAGAGCGCTTGAGGTGAGTTTTGAAAGAAGAGCAAACAGACTGAAGGCAGAAAGCTTTTCAAGGGGAGGAGGGAGCCTGGCTGAGGAAGTGGAGGTCGAAACCAGCACAGTGGTTCCTGTACAGAGAAGCTTGTTTTGGAGAAAAAGCAGTCCACAAGGCCAGGTGAGCACCAGCATCTACTCCACAGCAACTACAAAATCCACACGACCACTAACACAGCCACCTCTTATTGCCCATGGCAGCTCCGAATGGAAAGAAACAATGAAGTTATTCTGTGAAGAACTTTACAAGACAGATTATAATATATAAAACCAGCCGCCTGTTCTGATTATCCGTCGGGTTTTTCTGTGATCGCGAACCCTTTTGAAAAGGTTTAAATCATTCCTTTTTGCCCTTTTAATACAGATGTTTTTAAGACTATGAATTGGCTTCTAATTTCTTTCTAAGTATCACTTAGGAACATCCCTCAGATTTCAATTGATATAATGCTTCTGTTATCTTTCAATTCCTAACAGTTCATAATACATGTTAGGCTTTCTTCCTTACCCATAATTAACTGTTTTTATGTTTTCATTGGGTTTTGAGCTTTGTTTTGTTTCTTTGTAGTGTTGATTTCTCATTTTAGTCCATTTTTCTTGGAGAAAATGACCTGTATGATGTTCATTATTTGCAATTTGCTCAGACTGCCTTTGGAACCTACAATACGGTAATCTTTACGTATGTTCCATGGATGCTTGAGAGAAGCAGGGTTTCTCTGAGTAAAGAGTTTTACTAGCTCTCTGTTGAATACAGCTAGTCGACAGTGTGAATGAAATGTACTTTCTCCTTTCAGTGTGTGTGTGTGTGTGTGTGTGTGTGTTGTATGCATGCCCAAAGCACACACCTATGCATGTATGTATACTGTCTATCAATCTGTTAAAAGAACAATGTGTTTAAATCTGCCCTTAGTGCTTTTCTTCCTTTTGCCTGTTTTGTACAGACTCATTCATAGCACCACCTAGTGTCCAATCCAGGCACAACAAAGTTGGCTAGCAGAGGGCGATCCCTGCCAGTGCTGGCCTGTGCTGGGCAGGAACGTGGAGAACAGTCAGTAACTCTGCCTTTCCCTTGCAGGGTGCTGGAAGGAGAGATTGAGCAGCTTCGAGATCAGCTCAGAGAGACCGTTGATGAAAATGGGAGGTTGTATAAACTGCTGAAGGAACGGGATTTTGAAATCAAGCATCTCAAAAAGAAAATAGAAGAGGACAGGTTTGCCTTCACAGGTAGTTATGACAGCCTGACCTCTCCTGTCCAGCAGTGCAGGTAGTTGGCCCAGCTTTCCTGGAGCCTGCCAGGAGGAAAAAACAGAATGTCCCAGAGGGCAGGCTCCCGGGGAGAGAGTGGCACAGATCAGTCATGGTCAAGTTTATCCAGAGGAGTCCCGAGAACAGGGGAGGGGTAGAGGAAAAGAGCAGCAGTGACAGCAGGCAGGCATCTCTCCTCAGAACTGACAAGGGTCCTGGAGATGCCTGCAATACAGTGGGTGAGCCAGCAAGGTCCATTTCATCCTCGTAATTGACTCAGACAGTATGTCATGGAGGTAAACGCGGTGGTCCTTGGAAAATATATGTCATGCTTGGAAAGGTAGAGGGTCAGAGAAAGACCTTCAACAAGATGGAATGAAGTGGTAGCTTTAACCATGAACTTGAGATGGTGAGGATGGCACAGGATAGGGCGGGGCTCAGATCTGTGGTTCGTAGGGTCACCCTGAGTCATAGTGGACTGAGTGGCATCTAACGACAACCACAGCACCTGCGGTTGTTGTTCCAGGGAGGTGGCAAAGGCAGGGCAGTTGGCCATTCCAGGGGGACTTCTGAGACCCCAGCCACCCTTACCTCAGCCCTGTAAGTCACAATTGGACCCTGGCTTTTTTAGTGGAAACCGTGGTTCTGTGGGTCTCAGAGGACCTTGGCCGTGCAGTTGGCCTTTGATGTGGGCTCTGTGGTTACAGGTTAGGCCTGTGGTGTCTGGTGGGGACCTTGGGCCTGACGGGGCTCTTCTCTGTGTGTTCCTAATGACAGAAGCAGAGCCTGGGCTGTATTGTATCTCTCTAAGTGCTGGTGTAAATTATTTTCTCAGTGACCTTGTAATATCTGTACTTTCTCACATTACCCATTAAAGAAGCAAGAGGCCAGTGTATACCAGCTCTGTCCTCGATAAAGCCTGCACCCCTCTGCACACCCCAGGACCCTAGACGGCCCGAGTTCTTTCCTCGACATGTTCTTGTTCAGCAGACATGAGGTTGCCAAGGGCAGTCCTTCCTTGTCGTGGAACTCCCGGCCAGGCAGCAGCCAGCCTGGGCTGAGTGGACTTGAAAACTGTCATTGCCTTTGTTTTGCCATGCACCAGTTGACACCGTAGTCTTGTTCTGAGATGCGTCAAAGTCAAGTTGAAAAGTAAGCCTGAGACAATGTCCTTGACAGCTCCCAGTGCTGCAGTATCAGAAGCATTTAGAAAACGTGTGGACCACGTCGCCAAGCCTCTCATTGCAAAGATAGGGAAACTGCCTTCCAGAGAGGGTGAGGGAGTACCCAGGCTTTTCAGCAAGCCACTGGCCAAGCCGGCGAGCTTCCAGTGCAGCCTGCCCTACAGTCCACTCCCAGTGCCGTTTCCTGTTTATTTCCCCTCTAACCACCACTTTTCAACTGCTCCTCTGTCAGTTCCCTGTCCTTCCGTGGCTTGCGCTGTAATGTTGGATGCTCTATCACTGGTATTTCAGAAACAAGCAGACTCACCCACGATGGAGGTTTCCGTAAATCACAAAGAGCATGAGAAGGACTGGAATTCCAGAACACTTAATTATGCTCATGAGAAACCTGTGCATAAACCAGGAAGTAGCCATGCAAACAGATACAAGGGGATACCACATGCTTTAAAATCAAGGAAGCTATGTGTGAGAGCTATATCCTTTGTTCCCATACCTATGTCAGGGATCTCTCCAGAGTACTGAAGAGCAACGATGTCAGGCTGGAGACTAAGGTGCCCCTGATCCAGGCATGGTCTTTGCAATTACTTGCTATGCATCAGAAAGCTGAACAGTGACTAAGGATGATAGAAAGAGAACTGATGCCTTTGAGCTGTGGTGCTGGAGAAGAGTGTTGAATATACCGTGGACTGCTAGGAGAACAAACAGGTTTGTCCTGGAGAGGGTGAAGTCGGAATGTTCCTTGGAGGCAAGGATTCTGAAGCTTCCTCTGACATACTTTGGGCATGTTGCAAGGAGGGACGGGTCCTTGGAGAGGGATATCATGCTTGGGAGAGTGGAGGGACAGCGCAGGAGAGGAAGACCTTCGATGAGATGGATCGATTCTGTGATTGGGGTGGTGGGAGTGAGTGTGTCAGAGATGGTGAGGTTGGCACAGGATAGAGCAGGGTTTAGGGCTCTTGTACACAGGGTCACCAGGCATTACAAGCGACTCAACAGCACATAACAACAACAAATTCATGGTGCTGGAGAAGAATGTGAATATACCATGGACTGCTAAGAGAACAACAGGTTGGTTCTGGAGAGGATGAAACTGGGTTGCTCCTTGGAGGCAAGGTTTCTGAAGCTTTGTCTGACATACTTTGAGCATGTTACAAGGAGGGACCAGTCCTTGGAGAGGGGCGTCATGCTTGGGAGAGTAGAGGGACAGTGCAGGAGAGGAAGACCCTTGATGAGATGGATCAATTCAGTAGGGTAATGAGAGTACTTGTATCAGAGACAGTGAGGTTGGCACTGGACAGAGCAGCATTTAGGGCTCTTGTACATAAGGTCGCTATGAGTCACAAGCGACTCGATAGCACGTAACAACAACATTCAATATGGATTCAACATGCTGAGCAAATCCTGGACTATGTGAAGAATGTCATGTCAGGATTGGTGGAAAACTCATCAACAAAGCTCTGTTATGTAGATGACACAGAAGCCCTGCTTGAAGAAAGTGAAGAAGACTTGCAGCACTTACTGCAGAAGATGAAGGACTACTGCCTTCGGTATAGGTTATGTCTCTGCGTTAAGAAGAAGTGATGCCTTTGAATAGTGTTGGTGAAGGGTATCCAGTAAACCACGGGCCGTCAAAGAGCAAACAATCTGTCTTGGAGGAAGAGCAGCCGGGGGTGGGGGTGGGGGTTTTCCTTAGAGCAGGGACGATGACACTTCAGCTCTTATACTTGGAGCATGTTGTCAGGAGCGGTCAGTCCTTGGGGGGAAAATGAGAAAGAGAAAAAGAGAAGGGCCTCAGCAAGAGGGGCTGACATCGTGAATGCAGTAACAGGCTCCGGCGTGGCAGAGCGTAAGGAGGCACAGGACAGGGCAAGACTCATTTGTTATTCAGAGCTTTGCTGTGTTACTGACTTGACTGCACATGACGCCAACAATTGGATGCAAGCATTCGTGCTGGTTGGGTATTAACAACAACCTTCTGCAGAGCTAACTATCACGCGATCTCTGTAACGCTTCGCCATTGTTGTTGTTATGTGCCATCGAGCAGCTTGCGACTCATAGCGACCCTATGTACAAAAGCCCTAAACGCCGTTCTGTCCTGTGGCAACCTCACTGTCTCAAACACACTCATTCCCACCACTGCACTCACAGAATCGATCCATCTCATTGAGAGTCTTCCTCTCCTGCACCGTCCCTCCACTCTCCCAAACATGATGTCCCTCTCCAAGGACCAGTCCCTCCTTGCAACATGCCCAAAGTATGTCAGACGAAGCTTCAGAATCCTTGACTCCAAGGAGCATTCTGGCTTCACCCTCTCCAGGACAAACCTGTTTGTTCTCCTAGCAATCCATGGTATATTCAACACTCTTCTCCAGCACCACAGCTCAAAGGCATCAATTCTCCTTCTATCATCCCTAATCACTGTCCAGCTTTCTGATGCCATAAGCATTCATTTAGCTCATCATCTAGGGGTTGGCTGATCTAAGTCAGGCTCAGCTGCGGGTGGTTTAGCTTTGGTCCAGGGGACTCCCATCCTCCTCCCAGAACCAGCTAGCTGGCCGGGCTGGAACAAGTTCTTCTAGAGACGGCATGAGCGAAAAGGGCAGGTTTAACTGCACAAGTGTCTTCCTAGCCTCTGCTTGCATCATACCCACTAGCATCCTGTTGGTCAAGCCAAGGCCAGAGGCAGGCGGGTGTTGAGAGGGTGAGGGGACTATATTCAGCTTGCCAGAGGGCTTAAAGTGTGGATGACTTGGCTTGTCACTGCGGATCGCCTCACTGGAGCAGTGAACCTGTCTTCGACAGAATTAAAGCTCTGCTTTATGGTTTTATCATTTTCTTAGAACAGCTTGAGTTTCCATGCTCTTGGAATCGGGTCTCAGAGCTCTTAGGCGTTCAGAGGCTCCCCTGTGCCTCTCTCTGCCCCTTCAGGAGGGTTCACAGGAAGGCTCTGTCTTTGAGTTCTGAAGTCCCAGCACTGTTGATACGGCCAACCTAGGTTTGAAGTGCAGGCGTATGGTTTAACTGAACTCACCATTTCTCTCATTTTAGGAACAGCCGGTATGGCTGGGGACGTGGTCGCCACCAAGATTGTTGAGCTGTCTAAAAAGAACCGGGTGCTGACGGCGGAGTCAGAGGGTGCCAAGACCAGAGTGAAGCAGCTGAGCGGTCGCGTCCAGGAGCTGGAGCGGGAAGTGAGGGGCTTGTCCATTCCTGCCTCTGGAGGGGGACTCCCAGGGCCTGGGCCCCCGCTGCAGAGAGGGGGCCACGTGTAGAGGCTTTGAGTGGTTCTGACAAGCTGTGGGCAGCGATTGCACTAAGTTCCTCAGCCTTTGTCACGTTTCTGTGTGTCAGGAGGCAAGGGGCCCATGGGCCGCTGAGAAGCGTTAGGATGTCTTAGGGAGCAAACCCAGAGCCCAGCTGCCTCTGTGTATCTCACAGCTCCTTCACTGACTGGCTTTGCAACCTAGTTGTTGTTTTGTGCCGTCGAGTCAGAACTGACCCTCCAGCAGGTTTTCAGGGGCTATAAATCATACGGAAGGAGCTTGCCCATATTTCTCCTGTGGATTCAAACCACGTTCCTTTAGATCGGCAGCACAACTCCTTACCCCTTGGCCAGCAGCTGAGTGACTGAGAGCAGATGATAAACTCGCTGCCCTGGGTCTTCTCCTCTGTCACCTGACAGTGCTGGGAGTTCTCACCTCAGGGGTGTCTATGTGAACTGAGTGACTTGTAAAATACGTACAGCGCCTGGCACGTAGTAAGACTGGGTGAACATATGCTAAATAAATGAAGAGGTGTTTATTGTTGAATACCATTGAGTCTGAACCAACCAATCGTTGACCCTCCACTGGGTTTTCAGAGGTAGTAAATTGCACAGGAGATTGCCCATCTGTCTCCCATGGAGCAGCTGGTGGATTTGAACTGCATACCTTTGCATTGGTAGAGCAATTCCTTACCACTAAGCAGAGCTCTCTAAATTAAGATGAGTCCTTGCTGATATAAACAAACTTATTGTAAATGAGTGAACAGCGATCCTTGCTAATTGGCAATTAGAGCTGTAGTATCTGCAGGCCCAGGCCTGGTCTTGTCACAGATCTCTGCATTGTGAGGACCACTGACCTTCCTAAACCAATCTCAGACCCCTCCAAGCAAGGACACAGTCACGTGGCTTGTGGTCATCAGGAATTAGAACAAAACCCCTATGTGCTAGAGAAATGTCTCCTCATGTCCCTGGGGTGCAGAGGCTGGGAGAGGCTCAGAGGCTTTCTCCAGCCACCCAGCCATTGAGCGAGACACTGGACTGAGAATCAGCCCTGAAGCCCACCTTCCTACACTCCGCATTCCTTCAGAGCTGCTCTGTGCTGTGGCATCTGTTTGGAGCACCATCTCAGGCCCTGGGCATTTTGAGGAGTGAATCATCCAAACAGACATGTATCATCTTCCTAAGGGATAGGCCAGCGTCAGTCCAGAGCAGAGTTCTAAACCGTGACAGAGGAAAAGGATGGCCGGGACAGGAAAGTGGGTGAGCTGAGGAAGGGCCTCTCAGAAGAGGAGCAGAGTGGGTCCCCAAGGATAAAGAGGGGCCAGACCGAGAAAGGAGGTGAAGCCTCCACGCAAAGGGCCCAGCATGAGGGGGGGCGGAGCCTGCAGAGAGATCAGTGTGGCTGCTGGTGGAGCAGGACAATCTCAGAGAGCTGCGAGAGCCAGGTGGTGCCAGCCTTTGTGGGAAGGACCGGGAGACGGTTGAAGGGTCCCTTGGTCGTGTGCTGCCGGTCTCTGTGCAGTCAGCCTCTGGCCGTCCACTCTCACGGCAACGTCGTCCATCTCTGACCTTGCCTCCTGCTCTGTGGCATGGCCTCCGTAATTCCTTTACTCTTTTAGGGTTGTTTTTAGAACTCCAGGGGGCAGGCTGTGGCCCCAGTAGTCATTGTATTTATGACCCATTCTCTGGGGCACCAGCCCGAGCTCTCAGTGACCCCTACAGCTTGCTAAGGAGTGCTCATTGTATACCTGGAGCAGGGCAGGCAGTCAATTAAACCTTCTTCCAGCACAGAGCAGTGGGGGCGGGTGAGGGAGGGGGCGGAGGTTGGGGAGAGGAGACAGAGACCTTCTCCATTAACGTCCTAACCTGAGCTGAAAGGACAGACCGCCAAGATCGGTAACTTCACACCGGTGGCTCCAGACACCCCACTTGGGCTGTATACATGCTGAGTGGAATGAAATGCTAAGAGTGCGGGTTTGCTTTTTCAGCTGCAGACGGCGCTGTCCAGGTTGCCAGCCCAGGCGGGCACTGAAGCCGGAGCCAAGACTCCCAAGGCCCAGGCGAGAAGTGGAGTCGGGGTATGAATTCTCTTTGGCCCTGGGGTATCTGCGGGTCACTGGCCAGCTGGGCCCCTCTCCTCCGTGCCCATGTAGGGGCCTGTCCCTTGACCACATGCCCTTTGTCCTCCAGTGCAGAGCACCAGGGACCAGGAACCAAGTTGCTGGCCTAAGGCCGGGGATGCCCTGGGGAAGTCCTTGCTCTGATTCAGTCCCCCAAGAGAGTGTGGGAGGCACTTGAGGAGCCTGGAACCCTCGAATACCCGGCCCAGGAGAGAAGGCCTGGTTCAGCCCAGGCATCTGCTTAGGGAGGACTCCCGGCGACAAGGAGCATACTCCTGTCTGAGGCAGCCCTGTCCTCAATCGGGCCCTTCCTGTGGTGAGGGGCCCTCTCTTTGAGGTTCTGATTATCGGCAGAGGAAAATTTGGAATTGGGGATTCTGCCCACATTCCAGAAACCCAGAAAATGGGGATTGCAACTTCATTACATGAGACTGGCTGATCCAGGCATTTTAAGCCCAAGCCAGACAGAGGGATAACGTCAGTCCCAAGAGCACCCCAGGAGACCTTCCCAGTTAATGATGCAGGGATCCCAGCCTTAGAGTACAAGTTCAATGCCCCTTCCCCAGCCCCCTGTCTCCTCCTCCTTCCATCTCTTGGGCATCTTGATGAGAAGAATCAGTGCTCAGAGAGCAAGGACTGGCCTCCGTTCAGAGGCCCAAGTCTACCCAGGGACTGCTGTTCCCTTAAGGCCCAGCTTATGCCAGTATGATTCCTGGGAGGCAGCGGAAGGGCCGTTCCTTGGCTGGGCGGGTCTGTGTGTTCTCTCCGAGCCTCTCTCGGCTCCAAGGGACACTGCTAACACGCCTGGCGTTTCCCCAGTGACCAGCCGAGTACTTCCCTGTCCTCCAGGGCTGCCCTGCATGAGAGACGCCTCATTCAGTTACTCATTGAGCTAGACAGCTGTCCCAAACCCTGTGACATAGTAATCAAAGGCAGAGCCTCTGTCCCTGGGGTCTCTCGTGGTCCAGGAGGGAGATGAGCATTAGAGGAATGCTGTGGCAGGGTCTACAGAGAGAGTTCTCAGTCAGCAAAGTGAGCACCCACAGGGGTGGGGTGGGAGAGGGTCCTTGGGGTGGGCTTTACTGGAGAAGGAAAGTGAACACTGTGTGCAGAGGGACAGAGGCCACAAGCACTGTCTCGTCCTGTCCGTGAAGGGGCAAAGGAAATAGAAAAGGGCTGCAGGGAGCCTGGGTTCGTCATGGAGAGCGCCGGACAGGCTTCATCGCTGTGTCAGCACCATGTGTTTTCTCTGGCGTCCTCTGATCTGAGGGAGAACAAAGGCGTTTGCCCCTCCTTGGACCGTTCAGGTCGGCCCAAGCTCCAGCCACATCCCAGCCCCAGCCCCACAGCACATTCCGGAGAGGGGCCAAGCGCCCTCCCTCAGCCTGAGCTTCCAGCAGTCTGCGGGGTGCACACATCGCTGGCCTTGTCCATGCTCTATGGACCAAAAACAGCTGGGGAGGTGGGCGGGGGACAGGCCAGGCCCCCTACACAGCCTGTGGAATTTCGCTATGGGCAGAAACAGCTCTAAGGTGGCTGGGTGGTCGGGTGGGCCCAGCTGCTAGGGAGGCCTGAGGGTGTGCCAGGGATTAGGGGACGGTGGGGGAGCGGTGACAGCCACTCCTGTAGCGGCCCCAGCCATCTCAAGAGCATCCCTGCCCCCCTTTGCCGAAAGCTGCCCCGCTGAGCTGGTCAGGCCCCTGGCAGCGTCCTCGGTCAGAATCCAGCTCTAGACAGGACATTGTACAGGCATCATCTCATCAACCCTCGTCATATCCTGGGGTCAGTATGAAAAACCACTTGTTGTCAGGTTGATTCTGACTCATGACACCTGTCTGTGTCCGAGCATAAGGTTTTCATGGCTAATTTTTTGAAATAGATTGCCAGGGCTTTCTTCCAAGGCACATTGTGAGTGGATTTGCATTTTCAAACTTTTCTATATAGATAGACTGAATACATCAACTGTTTGCACCAACCAGCAACCCTGAGCCTTGTTTCATAGATGAGGAAACTGAAATTTAGACAGGAACCCTCACTTTGCCCACTCTGAGCACTGAGAAGAGATACCGCAGGTCCCCACATCCATAAGGGAAGCCCCTAACTTCTCGGCACCCCCCACTCGTCAGAGCCAATGGGGCTCCGGGTGCCTCTGATCTCACGGCTGTTCCCCAACCCAGGGCAGACTTGAAATGGAGCTTAGCAAGGGAGATAGAGAAGACAGGCACCCAACAGCAGTGGGAAAGGAAAGACAGAGCAGGGAGAAAGGACCCAGAAAAGAGATACGCTTGGTTTTTAAATAAGTTTTGACTATGCAAAGCCACTCTCATTGCTTATGAAATTTAGCTCGTGGTGGTGCCCTGAGGAAGCAGGAGAGGGGGTGTTTTTATACCCTTTCCGTGAAGGAGGAAACCAGGCCAGGAATTCTGGACCACATGTCCACATCTAGTTTCCCAGACCAATTTCCACCCCAGCCCGGCCAACAGAGCCCCTGGGATCCTGAAAACTTTCTGGTGTTCACACAGAACTGGTGTTCACATAGCTGGTGCTGACCACTGCTAAGGGAAGATGGAGATCAGTAAACTGCATCATGGCCCACCCCACTTCCCGGAGGTCCACCCCCACGCTGGGTTAGGGCAGGGCCGGGTGACCTCAGGACCACTGCTTGGCGGGATGCTGAATCCACGTTCCCGCTGCCATCGTGGGGTGAGGCGTGATGACAGGTGGTTCATGTTCTACCACCAACTGTTGAATTGGGAGAAGCAGCCAGTGAGTGGGAAGAACAGGGTGCTGTCACCCCAAAGAGCAACTTACTTCCTCACCTGTGGCCTGCTCGTGGGGGGTCTCTGTAATGCCAGACCTTTTTTTTTAAAAAACAAAAAGTATTGTTTATTTTCTGTCAACCTTATTTCCACTTTTTAAAAAGACAGTTTAATGGCCAGCTCTGGTAGTCTAGTGGCAAGAAGTTGCACTGCAATCCCAGAGGTGTGCAATTCAAATCCACCAGATGTTCTACCAGAGAAGGAGAGGCACTCTCCTCCTGTACCAGTCAGATCCGATTTGATGGTACACACAAAAAAAATAATAAAATAAAAATGAAAGAGAGAGAGAGAGAGAGACAGAAGAAAAGAAAAAAGGAAAGGAAAAGGAAAGAAAAGGGAAAGGAAAGAAAAGAAAAGACAAGACAGCTTAGGACCACTCAGTGGTGGTTCTGACCCACTCAGTCACTCAGTGGCCTGAGCAGTGGGGGCTGCAGACCAGTCTTCAGTTGCGGGCCGAGCACCCCAGTCTTCAGCAGGGAACTGCTGAATCGGCATAGGGGGCACCTGGACGCCTTCGGACCTGTCTGCATCCTCAGGCTGAGGAGGCGTGAGTCCAGGAGCAGGGCCGTCCGTTCTCCCTGAAACCCCTCCTTGGGCGCAGCCTGGTGGGCAGCAGCCTCCGCTTCCCTCTCAGTCTCTTCCGGGTAAGGCCAGACTCCTGTGCTGAGGCACTCCTGTTAAACAGAGACGTGGGCGACACCTTTGAGAAAAATTCACGTGCACACGGCCTCTACCCAGAACAGTTGTTTTTAATGACACTGGTGAGTCCCACATACGGTTTTCGCAGCGGCTGCCCTTGAAGTCATGGAGGTGGAGTGTTATGGGGAATAGCCTGGGCCCTTATATCTGTTTGTTTGCCTGGAAAGGGAGGCTGAGTCCCTGCCTGGGGAGAGGAGAGTCCAGCTCAGGGTGGTTGGCGAGGACTCCTGTCTCTGCTCTGAGCGGAGGTGCATTTGGTGTGATGGCCTCTGAGCACAGGAGCGTGAGCTCACCTGCGGGCTGTGCAACGGGGAGCCTGCAGGAATCTTCCAGATGCTCCGCCTCTGCGGCCTCAGCGTGTGTGTGTGTGCGTGTGTGTGTGCGTGTGTGTGTGTGTGTGTGTGTGTACACAACAACGAGCAGAGAGTTCCGACTGCAGAATTAAACGGTGGGGGTTCAAATCACACTTCACCCTTTTCAGGCAGGTACCGGCAAGTGGACCAGCCTCTGTTTTGCACCTCAAAAGTGGGTCTAGCGACAGGACTGCCTCACCATAGCAGTTGTGAGGGTCAGCACTGGGCCGTGCTTGTCTAAGTGGGGGCTGTGATGATTAGGGGACGTGAGGGTCAGCACTGGGCCGTGCTTGGCCAAACGGGGACTGTGATGATTACCATTCAGGCCACAAGTGACCGCTCCCCCCCCCCCCAGCCAGAGAGCCCGGAGGTAAAGGCCCTGCAGGAAAAGCTGGCGGCCGCGAACCTGAAGATGAGTGACCTCCGTAACCAGCTCCAGGCCGTGAAGCAGGAGCTCCGGGTGGCCCAGAAGGTAGTTCAACTCCAGGGCCCAGGCCGTGTGTGCGTGGAGCCAGGCTTGGGATGTGCACTGCCCAGGAAGTGGGGTCCATTTCAGAGCAACAGGGCTGCAGGCCGGGCGACCTCTCTCCACCAACTCTTCAAGCATGCCCCTTTGATGGTCAGAGCCAACCCCTTACCCAAGGATGCTGAAAACAGGGTCCCAATCGAGACCTGCAATATAGAACCAGCACCCTAAACAGAGCCCCCTAAGCCTTCCTAAGCTACCTGCACCCCAGCAGATAGATCCCTGTATAGCATCTCCTTTACAGGCACCATGGGCCCCCAACCTGCCTCCTGCCCTCTGCTGTGTGCCCTATAAGACAATGAATAGCTTGTTTGTTTATTAAAGGCCCCTTTTCAAGGAGACAGTTCAGGCTTAGGAGGAAGGCCCAGCTGGTTCCTTATTTATTTTTATTTACATAGTGAATTTCTCTGGCATTTGTCTTCCCTGCTGGAACCACTCAGACCAGCCAAGATTCCCCAAACAGAGCTCTATTGTGGAAACAATAGTGACTTGGGGAGCGGGGCTGGTTCTGTGACAGGCCTCTAGGGCCTCCAGGCCTCCAGGGCCTCCGTCACAAGCTGAAGTGTGCTGGAAGGTAGGGCTCCGAGCGTCCTTCAGCAGCCACACAGTGGCGAAGGGGGGGGGCCTTTCTGGAGCCACAGCCTCCCTACTGATGAGATGACCACTGACGAGCAGCTTTCCATAGAGGGCCTGGGCCTGGCCGCAGACGACTGCTGAATGGGTTAAGGAAGCAAGTGCTGGTCAGTGCAGTGGTCTGCTCAGCCCAGGACATGACGAGGGCAGTGGGTGCTACAGGCCGTTCCTAGACTGTTCTAAGCACCATGGGAAATGGCAGGGGAACGTGGGTCTGCTCCTCTCCAGGCCTGGTGGCCACGGGATCACAGTTCACATTAAACTGGCCTTTGAGTGCCCCATGCTGGAGCAGAGGGAGGCCACGTGGGTGGAGACTGGGCCCCGGGAGAGCCCCACGCGCCCACCTTGTTTCTTAGCTGTCGGCAGCATTAAGGGTCTGGTGGAGCCCTCCCCTCGGGTCACGCTGAAGACCTGGATTCCTTCCAGGTCTTGGCCAGCGAGGTCGGGGAAGACGTGAACATCCAGCACCTCCTATCCACTCCTGGGACTTGGCGGGGCCGCGCTCAACAAATACTTGTTTTGCAGAGTAAGGTGAGTATGTCAGCAGACAGCACCTTAAAAGGCCCAAGAGACACCCCAGAGAAAGCCTTGAGGCTCCTTCTCCACCCCCCACCCAGCCCGATTTCAATTTGTTATTTCATGGACAAGCGCTGGCACACCACCACGCACCAGGGGCAGGTCTACGTGCGGAACAAATGCCAGCGCCTCTGAGTCCCTTTCTTTTACTCTAGACGAGTTGTTTTTCCAGCTCATGTAAATTTGCATGACTCTTGTAATTGTAGACTTCTTCCAAATAGCAGGTCCAGATGCTTGTAGCCTTTTGAAAGTTTTCATTATCCTGAAAAAAACCAAAAACATACCCTCTCTTCTTTCTTGTTTTTGAAACATTTCAGAGCATTCTTCGAGCCAGGCTGCTTGGCTTCAAATCCCACCTCTCTGCTCAGCAGTCCGGGCCAAATTTATCCTTCGACAAAGTTCCTTTCTATTTCTCTGCCTCAGTAATCTCATCTGTACAATGGGCATGACAAAGAGGGTGGCTGGGAGGGTAGAATGAATGTGCCACATGTTCATAAAGTGACAGAAGTTCTCTTCTTGCCTTCAAACTGAGAAGCACGTGACTAGGTGTGTGGCTTCCACTGTATTAAAGAGCATTCCCATAATTCTCAGGGATTTAAGGGGCATGGATTCCACTACGTTTACGTGTGTTCCCATAATTCTCAGGGACTTAGGGTCACAGTTCCTTGATGGTTTTTACTCTTCGGGGTCTCCTATGGGATGGGGGGAGGGGAGGCAAGACCCCAGAAAGCTATAGTTGATGGTCAGTGTGTAATCTGGGGCTTCAGAAGACATACGTTTGAATCAAGCCTCAGTCACAGTTCACAAGCCCTGTGGGCTTGAGCCAGTTGTTTCATCCCTCTGTGCCTCAGTTTACACGCCTGTAAGATGGATCTAAGAATGCCTTCCCTGTTGGGTTACTGTGAAATGAAATGAAGTAACTCATAGTACATGCCTGACCATAATAAACACTCAAAGTGTGAATTAGTTATTATAATTACTGTTATTGCATTGTGAAAATAAAGAATTAAAATACTATGTGACCTTATTTGGGTTATTTGTTTGTACTTTGATGGTTTAGTTAAATTATTTCTTTTTTTTAGAAGTTTTTTATTTCTTATTTTTTAATTTTATTTTTTTTATTTTAATGGAAGTTTACAGAAAGTTTACTTTGGATTTCCATTCATTCTTGGTCCCACACTTCCCTCCCTGCCCACCCCTCCCCCCTGGGTTGGTGTGGTGTTGGTTTAATGCTTGAATGGCATTACCACACAGAGCCACACGAGGGCGCTGGCACGTGCTTTCCAAGCCAATGCAGTCACCTTTGATGGCGATGATGCTGGTGTATTTTGCCTCCTTTCCTGCCTCGGGTTTACGCAGCTATCCTCTGTCCTCAGGTTGAACCACGTGGAACTGAGGTTAGAACTACAGTAATCTGCTGAAACCATAGCTAGGTGGGTCAATGTTTACACGCCCCATGCCGATACCAGGAAAGGTGGGCATCAGGGTTGTATTCTCTCCAGTCTGTATGCCGAGAAAATTAGTAGAAAAAATGGATTCTATGAAGAAGAATGTGAGATCAGGATCAGAGAAGATCATGAGCCGTCTGCATGATGCAAATGGTACAACCTTGCTTGCTAAAAGTGGAGAGGGCTTGAAGTACCTGATACAGAAGATCAAAGAGTACAGACTTCAATGTGGATCACATCTCAGTGTCAAGAAGACAACAGTCCTCACCACAGGAAGAATAAGCAACATCATGATAGTTGGAGAAAAGATTTAAGTTGTCAACAATCTCATCTTACTTCGATCCACAGTTAACACCCTTGTTACCAGCAGTAAGGAGATCAGGAGGTAATATTGCACTGGGAAAGTCTGCTGTTACGGACCTCGCCAAATTACTAAGGAGCAATGATGTCAGTCTGAAGACTAAGGTGCACCTGATTCAGGCAATGGTCTTTTCACTCACTTGCTATGTATCTAAAAGTTGGCAGAAGAATTGATCTCTTTGAGTTGTGGTGTTGAAGAAGAGAACTGAATATCCTATGGACTTGCCAAAATGACAAACAGATATGTCTTGGACAAAATGCTGCCAGAATGCTCTTTGGAGGCAAGGATGACAAAGCTTTGTCTTATATAGTTTGGGCATGTTGCTAAGAGGCTATTCCTTGAAGAGGGACATCATACATGGAAAGGTGACTGGTTGACACAGTGACTGCAGCAGTGGTCTCAAGTGTGTCAGAGATGATGAGGACGGCACAGGATTCAGGTCTGTTTATAGGTTCACTATGAGTCATACTAAGCTCAACGACACCTCACAACAGCAACATGCCAGTACATGCTGGGATCCAGGATGAAGGCTTACCTGAGCCAACTCAGAATTTCTCAAAGTCATCTATTCAAAAAAGAACCCGTAGTACTTATTCCTGGCCTTTCCCCTAGAACCCCAGTTTTCTGATCTGGAGTGGGCCTCCAGATATGTCATTTTGAGACAAGTTTGGAATCTCCTGTACTATCTCACCAGATCTGTCCCCTTGAACCTATTTTACAGATGAGAAAATGGAGATTCAGAGAAATAACTTGTGCACAGTCACTTCACCAGTGAGGCCCTGAGCCAGTCCTTTGGCTTCCATATCCTGCCCTGCTCTCTGACATCTCCCTCGAGCCTCCAAGCACCCCTTGCCTCCTGAGGGCCCAGCCCAGTTCCACGGGCATGGAATTGGAGAGTACTTCTCAAACTGAAGTCTTCCACCTCTCAGATTCCAGGAGCCCACATATCTGCTTGTTGGCCTCAGACAGCCCGTTAGAGACGGGGTGATTGTTCTCATTTAACTTGAAGGTCTTTTTTTCTAAGTTAAACTTCTCTGAGTGTCTTCCCCTTTTGGCACAGAATCTCCCCTTCGGTCCCTCCCTCCTCATCCCTTTCTCGAGGGTCCCAGCAATGTGATAGTCCCCTGGGGTCTCCCATCACCCCTCAGAGCAGCCCCTCTGGGGGAAGAGTCTGTGACTGCCGGCCCGTTTCAAGATGGTGAGATTTACCACCCACAGGTCCGAGAGCTGGAGAAGAAATTGGGACAAATCCAGAGCCAGTCCACGGGAACAACAGGTGATGAGCTGCCCGTCCACTCAGACCCGAGGAAGCTGTCTGCACAGGAGAAAAACCTGCTCAGGATCCGCCTCCTGGAGAGGGAGAAACAGGAGAGCTTAGAGGTAACGCCTGCCTGGGGAGGAGGTCAGTGGGGCTGGGAAAATCTGCGAGCATGACCACCTCGTAAAGGGGCCTCGGTCACTGCTATGCACTGACTCAGCTTTAGTTGTCTCTCTGGGACTTCATCCTAAGCCCATTTGCTGTGTACAAATTACACTTTGGATGTTAGTTACCCCCCTGGGCTGTTTTGGAGACATTGGAAAGAAACTTCCATTGTGATGTGAAGAGGGAGAGGGTCCCAGCCCCAGCGACGACTCAGTGGGGTGACTGGCTGCGGTTCAGTTCATCCGCACTCATTTGTGTGTTACAGAGTCCTGCTGCTCTGCGTGGTCTTCCTGAATGTCCTGTTGACAGAGTACAGGTCACCAGGCTTGACTTCTGCAGTGCTGTGGGGTGGATTCAAACCGTCAATGTTTAGGTTTCTAGTTGAGCACAAACCTAAGTGAGTTCGTATCACTCAGGGTCTTTGTGATAAGGTTCGATGGAATTGAAGTGGAGCCAGGTTGATGAAAGACACGATGATGTTGTGTGCCATCAAATCAGAACCGACCCATCGCGGACCTGCCGGCAGCTTTGCAGAGGCCGTATGTATGTAAATTGCAATGAAGAAGATTGCCCATCTTTCTTCAGCAGAGCAGCTGGTGGATTTGAACCACACACCTTTGGACTGGCAGCACAATTCCTTACCACTAAGCCACCAGAGCTGAGCCCCAACAGTTGTGTCTCACTGGCTCCATGAGGAGTTTCAGAACCTAGCCCTATAAAGCCCAAGCAACAAAGAGCATTGACGGGCCCCACAGGCGCCAGTGCAGAGCAGGCTTCAGATGGGGAGGGCACAGATGAAACATTTAGGGCCTTAATTACAGCACCCTGTTCCCTGGGTTGTGTTCACTCTCTCCCATGGTTACTACTTGCAGGCCCCGCTTATACCTCCAGACAAGACCCCACAGATAAAGCGTGTCTCTTTCCTAGTAGTTGCAACAAAGTCCCAACACTGAGTCTTAATTGGCCTAACTTGGGACCTGTCCCTGCCCCAAGCCATTCACTGTGTCCACAGATATGGGATGTTTTGATCAGCTAAACTTCTGGTGGCTGGCCCTTGGTCTAGAGAGTGATTAAGTCTCCCCCCAGTCACAGACTAAGAGGGGATAGGAACTTCCTGAAATAAAAAATAGAAGGCAAAGGGACAGAATATCCTGGAGGACCAAACAATAGGCCACTTCAATGACCCTGGCGGTGGGCTTCCTAACGGCACTTCCTGTTCACCACACGGCTTCCCTTTGTGAGGGCCAGCAGGTGTGAGGAGGGGCACAGGGGGGCTGGGTTGGGACTGGAAATCCTGGGTTTCACCTTGAAGGCAGTGGAGAACCTCAGGATGGACATGCTATGGAGGGGCATGATGGGAAGTACATTTTGGAAGGGTGGCGTGGTCAGGCGTGTGGACGATGAGGTGAAGGAGGCTGACTGACTGGATGCGGGAAGGCGACCACTAGGCAGAGCTGTGAAGAACTTCCTGTGAGGACAGCAGGTGGCTGCGAGGAGGACAGGAGTGGGCTCTCGGAGGAGAGGGAATCTTGGGTTTGAGGTACACCTACCTTGGGCTTAGAAACACACACATAAACTGTAAATTACAGCTAGAATTGCAGAACCATCTGTCCGCCGCATCAGGGAGGGGACGGGGAATGGGCAACCTGCGTGCTCTTCCCTCGGCCCCTGGAGTGTGGAGACCACCAAGCAGCACATGACCATGACCGCTGCCTGCCTGCCTCCCCTCTGTTATTTCCCCGCAGTCCTGTGGATCCGCCATGTTTTACCAGTCTGCATTTCTGTAATTCAGAGGGGAAGGCCCTCTATGAGGTGGATTGATTCAGTGACTGGGATAATCGGGATGGGAGTGTCAGAGACAGTGCGATTGGCACAGGACAGTGCAGAGTTTAGGGCTGTTGTACATAGGGTCACTATGAGTCACAAGCGACTCGATGGCACATAACAACAACAACAACTAGGCCACCAGAATGCCCTATAATTGATTTGTTCTAGGATCTGAAAACACTCTTCCAGGGGTAATTGTCCCATGAGCACAAGTCAGATTATGTCATTCCTCTGTCCAAGATGCCCCTCGTGTCTGGACCTTGATTCTGGGGGTTAACCTGCTCTGGCCTTGCTCACCCCATGCTGGTCACGCTGACTTCACCCCAACACCTTTGTTCCTACCCGACCTCACTCAGTCTCTGCCCAGGTGACACCGTTTCAGGGAGATTTTCTCCAGCCACATCCCGCCCCCTGCCCCTCCTCCACCTTTCAGCATTTATCCTCAATTAATTGATCAGATCACCATCACTGTTGATTGTCTTCTCTGCGAGGACGTCTGCTCCTGAGGGACCCCGGACTCTTGTCTGGTTTGTTCTATGCTTCAACCTAAGAACCTAGAACCCTGGAACCACATTATTTCCCCCAGAAAATAATTGGAAATGACAGATCGAATGATCAAGAGGAATGATCTGGAAGGCGTAGGCTGCACAAGAAGTTCAGTTTATAGCCATGAAAGTGGGCTCAAGTCTAGGGTGACGTCCTGGACTTGTGTGGAGGATGCAGGGAATGGAGTGGAGGTAGCACCTGCCTCCCATGCCAGCTGTTGGTGGACTGAGATGCTTCAGCGTGAGCCCAAGGCTTTGTGCTGTTTGCAAAATTGTGGTTTTTCATTTTCGCCAGGCTCAGGGGTGGCCGAGGGTGGGAACAGATGCATGCAGAGCTTCTCAGTGGCATTCCTCTTGTGCCCCTGCACTGGCTGCTTGGAAACCTGTGTCCTCAGGCGTGGAGGGGGATGCTGGCCGTATTGTTAGTGAGCTCTGTCGTGTGCGAGCGAGTCCTGGGCTGAAGTCCTCATGCTGGGAGAGGAGTGGTTTGCTCTGTGCCCATCAACAGGTGCCCTCCCGTCTCTGAGCCTCTCCAGGGCCTGAGAACGAGAGCCAGGAGTGGCCGAAGTACATCTCGTCTCGCCCCTGCTGCCCACTGTTGTGCTTGCTGGTTACAGAAACTCACCAGTGAACGAGACGCCCTCCAGAAACAGCTGGAAGAGCTGAGGAAGAAGTTCGAGGCCGCCAAGTCCCGGAACAAGGTGCTGTCTAGCGAAGTCAAGACCCTGCGGACTCAGATGGGCACGCTGGTGGAGAAGGGCAGGCATGACGATGAGCTCATCGACGCCCTCATGGTACGGCCGCCACTCAACGCTGGGGACAGCCAGGGCCCCGGCCACGGCGGGAGGGACCAGCCCCCAGCAGAGGCGCCCTCCTCAATGCCACCTACGCAGCCTGGAAGGATGGGCCCCAGCACGTGTCCAGGAACAGGAGCAACCCCCAAAGGCCACCTGAGGGCTGTGATGGTGGCCATGCTTGGCATGAGCCCCTGGGCCTGAACCCCAACAGAGAAGGAGATATGGGAGGTCAAGGTAGGGTTACACCTGGGCTGTCTCACATCAAGGAATGAAAGGGACAGCTGAAGGGACAGATGATTGTCTGTCAGATAGCCGATGCCTCTCCATCTGGACACAGGGAGGGCGGCTTATAACAGGTCAGCCCAAGACAGCCCCTAGGGCCACCTATTAATAATCCCATCCCACAGAGGGGAGACTAAGAGGATTTGCCCAGGTCCATCCAGCTGCATTCCAACCCTCTTTAGGTGACTGTGAAACCCCTCCACGCCAGCAAGGCCACTGCTTCCCTGACCCCACGACTGGGCTTTCCTCTCCAGGAACTGAGGTGCCCTGGGAGTGCCCCAGCCCAGGGGTGTGGTGTCCCCCCCGGCTAGCATGCTGAGGGGCCCCGAGCTGGCTCGGTCACCACCTTGGAGTGCAGGCCTTAGGCAGTGTGCAGGCCACTAAGCCAGAAATCTATGCCTGCTCCTGCCCGTCTCCCTGTGTGACCCCTAGGCCATCACATCCGCTCTCAGCCTCAGCTTCCGAGCCTTCAGAGATGGGCATCAGGGATCCCCCGAGGTCCCAGTGTGTCCACCGTTCTTGTTTCTGAAGGTGGCTGCAGGCCAGCCCCAGCTCTGCCATCTGCCGTGTGCCCTTGAATTCTCTGGCCCCAGATTTCCCTACCTGGCCGCAGTCACCGGCTCCTGGTTGGGTTCCAGCAGGTAGCCTGTACCCAGGGATCTTGGAGGCACCTCCAGGGGCTGAGCCTCGTCCAGTGCCAAAATCTTAGGCCTAAAATCCCAGGCTCCAGAGGCCATCTACCGAGTAGCCTTCAAGAGTAGGATTAGGGTTCCTTTTCAAACATCTTCACCACCTGAGATGGACTCTTTTTCATTGTCCTTGAGAGCCCCTTAGAGGGTCCTTCAGGGCCCCGCTTTCAGGGAGAGGGAGGTCAAGGCCAGGGTAAAGGAGGACACCAGCCTGGCCCCCACCTGTCTGGTAGGAGCCTCCTGGGCCCTGTGATAGGTGGAGCAGGGCAGTCCGTCAGTCAGTGCCCGCTGCCAGCTTCTGGTGGGAGCAGGGAGGGCTGGGCTGCTGGGGTGCTGGACGGCAGCCTCTCCTCGACCCCCAGAATCAGCTGAAGCAGCTTCAGGAGATCCTGGGCAGCCTGAGTCTGCAGGAGGAGAAGACGCGTGCGTCCCACCACCGCCTGGACCAGCAGCTCCACACGCAGGCCCAGCAGAGCAGCAGCCTCGTGGCCCAGCTTCGGGCCATGGTGGCAGAGCGGGAGGCCAAGGTGCAGCAGCTGGAGCTGGAGATTGGGCAGCTCAGCGTGCAGGTGAGCGGCCCCTGCCCCTCACACCCGTTTGCAGCCTCCATCCAGAAAAGCGCAGGCCACACCTGGTCTTACCTGCCTCTGCGTGGCCCCTGGAGACCGTTCTGCACACGCCTTTTCCTTCTACAGCACCAGCTTTGTGTCCCTGCGCCGGTTAGAGGTGTGCATTCACGGCTCCCCGCGGTCCTCTGCCTCACCAGTCCCTCAAGAAATCTGAGGGACACGCGGAGTCATTCCAGAATCTTCAGCTCTCACTACCTCTCCTTGAGGGCCTACCTAAGAGAGATACACAGAAAGGACCTAGTTTTACCTTAGAGGTCACTGGCCAGAGGGCCAGGTCTTACCACCCCTCCAACAAGTTAGCAGACATCGTGGACCACCTTAGAATGGGTGGGCCTTTGGGGGTCACTCAGGTTGTCAAGGGCTCATCCTAACCGGGAGTCATCGAATATTTCCTTTTCAGAAAGTACCCCCTAACCCAAATATCCAGAATATTCCTAAGGAGGGGACAGCTCAGGGAAGGGGCAGCTCAGGGAGGGGGGCCTAGGAAGCCCCAGCCTCCATCCAAGCTGGCCCTGGGTGAAGCCACTCAGCCTCATTTGTCCAGGTTCCTGCAAGAAGCTGGCTCAGGCCCTACCCCTGGCTAGAATGGGCATGGGGCAGGGGGTCGTCTGAAGAGAGGGGATCCTTAGGCGATCCAGACCTGCCTCACATCACGGACTATTCACTGCTCCCCAGGACCTGAGGGTAGACCCCCTTCCTGGCTGGGTCACCGTCCTCACACCAAGCAGCTCCCCTTCTGAAGCGAGGCATTATTAGATGTCATTATCATGCAGCCAGCGCCTCCACCAAACAGACCTCCCTTTTCTCTCCTGAGAAAAGAAGCTTCTTTCATGCTCCCTGAAAGACCTGAAATCAAGCCAAGCCCCCTCTCTGGCTTCCTCCAGGCCTCTGAGCCAAGGCCCGGAGAATCGAACCCGTGTCTGTCTTCTGCAGTATCTTCACACCAAAGGCCTGAGCGAGGGATCCAGTGGGCCTGAGGTCAACCACGCCCCCACGCAGGGCCCTGAGGACCCAGGCCTGGCCAAGACCACGGCCTCCGCGGGCGATCACGTCGGCAGGCTTGGATCTTCTCGGTAAGAGAGGGAAAGAATAAGGGATATGGGGGTGGGTGGAAAGTGAATATTAATTATTCAAAAGAAAGGCTGTTTCCTGCTGCCTCTGATGGGAAGCCAGGGAAGCGATGCTTACTAAGAAGACTCTGGCACTGGGCTTCCAACACATGGGTCTCTCCTAGTATGTTAATTCTGCATCTGCAGAAGAGAGCCCCAGGCCGTGATACTGTTACTGCGTATTGATCACAGCTCCCTTTCATGTCTGCCCTGATCCTGCCACCGAATGCATCTGCTCCCCAGAGTCTCGGAGAGCCCTGGGCTTGGTTGTGCAAGGCCCAGACGTCTCCCGGTTCTGTCTTGTTCTGAGCAAGGAGGGGTTCTGGGAAGAAGGGCCGTAGACCCGCCGGGCTGCCCAGCCAGGGCTCCTGCGAGGGCCATCGCCAGCTGCTTCCTCAGCCTGCCGGGCCCCTGGCCAGCCCTTGCTCCCTTCCCAGCAGAACACACGCAGAGGTGAAGGTGAGGCCCTTTGGGGGCCGGCCCGCCTTCCCGTGGTGATGGGCCCCTTCCACCCCACACACAGCTCCGTGACCAGCCTGGGCCACACGCTGGTGGAATCTGCTCTCACTCGGCCCTCCCTGTCCAGTCCTCATGGGCCCTCACCCAGGTATGGAACCTAGGCCCCTTGTAGTCCTCCCTGCCCTTGATTGTTCTGCCAATACTGACATTCCATTCAAAAGAAGGGGAAACTGAGGCCAGCCAGGCCAGGGCCTCTCCCACGGTTACACAGGACTTGGAGGGTCAGGTAGGTCCAGTTTCCTGTCTGGGATGGGTCTCAGAACTAGACCCTGGCCCTCCTGTCTCCTAGGCCAGTGCCCTTTCCTACTACCAGAGAATTAACACAGGAATCTTCTAGAACCTGACTCCCAGCACCTTCCCTCCTGTCTCTTGAGACTCAATCACTCAGGGAAGAGTTTCACATCATCCAGGTTCCTGCTCTAAGCCACTGATACTCCTCAGCTCTCGGGCCCTTCTTTGTTGATAGAATCAAGTCTAAAGGCTTAAATGGGCCCTTTGTACCCCATGCCAGCTCCCAGACAAAGGGTGACTTTGTCCTGCCTCCGAGCCCTCTCTTGAGCCCTGCCCACTGTCCCTTGGAGTCGTGCTCGTGCTATCAGCTCCCCAGAGGCAGGTCAGCTCCGATTCCAGGCGAGGCCTCCAAGTGGCCCCAGGTCCGCATCGGATCCCTGCATGGTTCTGGGCAGCAGGTTTTTTCTTGGGCTTCCATCTCCCGTGGAGTAACTGCCATTCTCTAGACTGCCGCTTGGCAGCTCAGGCACTGTAGGGCCCAAACCAGCCCTGTAGGTCACGAGGGGTCACAAGGCCACCTGGGAGAGTGGTCACGAGCCACTCCCCAGAGGGTGGGGAGTTCAAGTGCCGGCAATGGGGACAGGCAGCTCTGCCTTTAGAAACCCACCTCCCACAGTGGAAGCAGGAACCTGGGCAAGTTGCCGCCTCCCAGGCCTGATTGGCTGAGACCTCTGCACGTGACAGGATGCTGGAGCCAGCGTGCTGTAGGCTCCCCAGTCTGGTGACCCTCAAGCCTGTTCTTGTCACGTGCAGGTCCTGCCCTCCTCATGAAGCTTACAGTTCCCTCCCCTTGGTGACAGAGCCGGAGTGATTCCAAGAAAGCGGCTCAGGGCTGTGTGGTTAGAACTCGGGTCCTTCAGATGATCTCTGAAGGGCATACGGCCCTCTCGCTCCTCTCCCTCCACCCTGTTGGAGAATCCCTGAGGTGACTTGGAACAAACTTGCCAGCTGCAGTGTGTGTGTCCAAATCACCAGAGACCCTGACTCAGCGGGCTGGTGCAGAGACTGGGGTGCACCATTTCTTGCCAGCTCCCAGGTGGTACCCCGGCCACTGGTTCAGACACGTCTTCTCAGCGAGGCCTGCCAGCACCGTTAGGAGTGAGAGAGCAGGAGCTGGGGTGGGGGAGACCTGCAGTCCTCAAGCCCATCTCTGCAAGCCCCTCAGGGTTCACACAGGACCAAGGCTCAGAGAGGGGAAGAGATCCACCCAAGACCACAGAGCAGGTCCACCTCAGAGCAGGCCAGGAGCCCAGGGCTCACACGCCCCAGCCCAGCCCTTGGTACACTGTCACCTCTGGGGGGGCACACTTCATCCCACTCACCACACCCCTGCCCTCACCCATATATCCAACACCCCTCAGGCACACCAACACACACACCTACACACACACACACACACACACACACACACACAATCCCAAATCCTCCCCCTCCACTGGACACTTCCACTTTCCTCCCCCCCCCCCCCCCCTTCCTTCCCCCTCCCATGTCCCCCTGTTCTCAGAGCACATTACCACCCCCCAGGACACACCACCTCCCTTGAGGCACAGCACCATCACCCCTGGGGAACCCTCCCCAGGCACAGCATCCCCTTTGGGGCACCCACTACCACCGCCCCCTGGGGCATATCACCCTCCGTGCTGGGAAAGTGGGCCCCCAAAGCCAGGCTCTCAGTGGGAAAGGCCCAGAGCAAGATGGAGAGTGACCTGTCACTCACATGTGTGTCCTGGGGCGGGGCCCCCCTCTCCTGGATTCCAACAGCAGGTGGGGGCTGGGAGCAGCAGCGATGGGCTGGAGAAACTGACCAAATCCCAGAGCCAAGGTGTTGAGGTTCCAGGAAAATGACCTAGACATGAGGCCAAGCCAGGATCTCCAGGAACAGGAGGGAGGAATGGCAGGGAGACGGTGACGGGCCGCCCCGGTGTGGGGCAGGAAGGCTGGGTTCCCAGGGCACTTCCAGGTCCCCAAGGACTAGCTTCTGTCACAGCTGGACTGACTCAGGCTCCCATGAGAACTGGATATTCAGAGGTATCCATGAAGCTCTCGCCCTCATAAGCTCTGGCTTTGGGGTCAGCGGAGTGAGGCCCTGTGAGGCAGAAGCCAGGAGAGGTGGGATAGGAGGGGTTGGGCTGTCATCTTTCTCTCCGGCTGTCTCTGAGCATCCCTAAGTGTCCTTCCAGGCCCTCCCACCATGACAGGGGCTCCCGCCACGTGTGTGGCTGCAGGCTGCCCGTCACATGACCTCTGCCCCCTTCCCTATCTCCAGGTTCTCAGACTCCCCAGAACAAAAAGGCTGGCAGGCGCAGGTGACTGAGTTCAAAGCCCTCTGGCAGGCCGCCGAGGTGGAGCGTGACCGGCTCACGGAGTTTGTCACTGTCCTGCAGAAACGGTAACACATGGCCCCAAGGACACTCTCCTGAGCCTGCAGGGGATGAGGGTGGTCAGCCTGTCACAGGGCCATCTGCACGGCCAGGCTCATCCAAGTCAGGACCGAGCTCACCCGGGAGCTTGGCTTCTCTGGGATTGCTCCCAGGAATTCCCAGCCCTAACTCAGGCACCCTAGGCTTCAGTCCCTGCACCATAAGGGCACCCCATCCTTCCTGCACACGTGGGATGTCACATGCCATGTGGACCCGAGGCAGAATTCTCAAGGAGAGATTCTCAGGAATCATCAGACCAGCCCACCAGTAATTCAGATCTCAGATGAGCCTCCCTGTCCTCATTGCTGTCAGGGACACAGGCTGGACTAGGTCTGGAATGACAAAGGACAAGAGAGCTGCTGGCAGAGAGACGGGTGGAGGCGGGGGCTGGGACTTCGGCCGGGAGTGGGAGCAAGGCAGCAGACCAGGTGGTACAGTTTTCTTCAGAGGTTCGTTGACAGACTTGCATTCAGATAAATCGGTCCTTCTCGCTCAAGTGACCTCTTGGCAAGAGTCAGGGCCGCCCAGGCCAACACAGTCCCTTCATGTGACCTCCCTGCACACAAAGAACAGCACTGAGCTTCTACACTGGCATATCAAGTGTCAGCTAGAGCTCCTCCTTGGGGGACAACAGAACCAGTTCTGACTAAATGAGGCAGAGGGACGCGTTTTGGAAGGTGTTGAGCTCAGGAAGATTCAGGGATCTTAGTGACAAGAACTCCAAGACTGTGACTTCTGAACTGGGCTTCGTGCTGGCCCTGCGACTCTGCGCTGCTGGGTTCTCAGCTGTGGCTGGCTCCGTGTTGTTGTTGTTCACAAGTCCCCGGGAGCAACACGGTCCTGACCACACTACCCCTAGGTGCTCAGAGAAGGGAGGAGAGGTGGTTTCTCAGTGAGGGGAAAACAGGGCGCTGTCACCAAAGAAGGTCCTGGGGATGCAGGGAAGGCAAGCCCAAGGTCGGTCCACCCCTAAACAGTGAGCAGTGACCAGCTTAATTTTTTAAATAGTTTTAAATTTTTTTTCTTTCTTATTCAAGTAGTAGGATTCTGAGGCTTCGTCTGACATACTTTGGACATGTTGTAAGGCGAGACTGGTCCTTGGAGAAGGACATCATGCTTGGGAGGGTGGAGGGACAGTGCAGGAGGGGAAGGCCCTCTATGAGGTGGATTGATTCAGTGACTGGGGTAATCGGGATGGGTATATCAGAGACGGTGCAATTGGCACAGGACAGAGCAGAGTTTAGGGCTGTTGTATATAGGGTCGCTATGAGTCGCAAGCGACTCGACAGCACATAACAACAACAGTAGTAGAGAAGGTATAAATTTCAGAAATCTTTAGATACGTGAAAAAGGTAGCATTGTTTTTCTATAATTGCAGTTTAATGTAAAGTCTTCAAATGACACAAACATACCCAGTTCAGACTTTCTCTCCCATTTCCCTTGAGTTGCATCTGAACTTTGGGGTTGGAGAGAGAAAGAGAGAGAGAGAAAGAGAGAGAGAGAGAGAGAAAGAGAAAGGGAGAGAGAGAGAGAGAGAGGAAGAGAGAAACAGAGAGAGAGACAGAGACAGAGAAGTGTGGTGGCTCATTTATCAATTGCAACATAACAAATTACCCCAACCTTAGTAGCATCCAGCGCAGAATAGAGGTGGTTCTTTCTAAGTGATTCTAGATATAACCCAGTGGGTTGACAGGGCTATTTCGTGGCTCCACATAGTGTTAGCTGAACTCACACATAGGGCCTCATTCAGGTGCCCTCCGCCCTCCGCGTGGCCTCTCTTTCCGTGTGGTGTCTCCCCGGATTTTTCCACACAAGGCCAACGTCAGCGTCAGGCAGGCAGGGAAATTCAGGGGCAGAATTGAAGACAGTCATTCTGAGTGATGCGTGGGAAGCTGAAGGTAGGCTCCTTCTGCAGGTTTTGGGCTTCCCTCGCCTCACCCTGGTTCTAGCCATGTTTCTGGGGAGCCCCTCCCTCGCTCCAGCAAAGTAGCTGCAAGCTTCCATGGTAGTGGGGTTCTAAAATAGGACTGTGCAAGTTACATAGGACTGCCAAGGTTACATCACGCAGCGAATGTACCACTGTCCAAAGTGGGTCATAGTAAAGCCAGAGTCATTGTGGGAGAGGCTTTAAATGTTGGGACCAGAATTTGAATGTTGGGAGGAGATATCCCCTTTGGCGGTCACCTGTACAGTCTATCACAGTGTCGTAAACTATCTCCTGATGCCGTTATCCACTGAGGAATTGTATTCTCCTCCGGTCTTCATTGGGCTGATTCAGCAGGCTTGGCATCTCCCCTCCCTAACTTCCTTAGGTTTGGGGTCTCGCTGATACCCCTGCCCTTTTTGAGATCCTCGAGTTCATTGTCTTGTCCGCTATCATCCTGGGTGTGTATTCTTTTCATCTAAAACTCCTAGTCAGCACGTATTCTGTCTTCTTATCCATTCCACGGCAGTTCTTAGTCTCTCTCAGCATTTTGGACTGAATTCTGCGTGGGATCTTCAAATCTGTGTTCCAGCTCACCGACTCCCTCCAGTAGTACTTCATCTGCTGTGAAATCTATTTTAATAGTTGTTTTTTTCCTCATTTCTAGTGTAAATCTCCTGTTCTTTTTTTTTTAAAACCTCCAAAAACCATCATTTGTTCTTTCATTAAAATCTTCTTACCTTTAACTTTTTAATAATTTTAAACTCACTTACCCAAACCAGGTCCACTGCGGTCAAGTTGATTCCTACCCATGGTAATGTCACCCGGTTTCCTATGGAGCGAACTCTTTATAGAAAGGAGACCACTTGTCTTTCTCCTAAGGAGCACCTGATAGATTTGAATCACTGACCCTTCTGTTCGCAATTCAGCACATGCCATGCCATCAGAGCTCTTAAATAATGCTCTGTCATTTTCATGAGGGAGGGCTGGTGGCTTGATAGGAAGGAGTTACACCAGCAACTCAAAGGCAGGCAGTTCAAATCCACCAGCTGCTCTGCAGGAGAAACATGAACACCCGCCTCCCAGGGTGATTCAGTGCCTCTGAAAACCCGGTTCAGGGGGATCAACTACGGGTGGTCCACCTCAACAGTGGGTAACAACAACATCATCCTCATGGCTTAGGGTCCTGAGTTGTGCCATTGTCTCCCCTCCTGGTGAATCCATTCATTCCTATGTGGTTTAAATGTTGACACCGGGTTTTTTGTAAGCTCAGCTTCAGTGGGGAGTTGTTGGTTTTTTCTTGTGGGGCTCCCGAGGGGCCTAGATTCCGAAGCTGCTCCTAAAGACTAGTTCTCTTGCCTCTGAAGAGCATTTATGGTTTCACTCGTGTCTTGGGGTGTTTTCTGATAATTTATTGGTTTAGAATTTCCTGAAAGCATGAGCTTTCATGCCTTGAGCTTCAGTTTCTCTCGAGCAGTGAGGTAGACTGCAAGCTTCTTTACCACGGCCCTGGGCTCAGAGATGAATAGTTGGTGGCCAAGCAGATAGGGTGGCCAACCCTCAGGCATGTGGTTCAAACCCACCAGCTGCTCTTCAGCAGAAAGATGGGCAATCTCCTCCTGTGTGATTTACAACCTCTGAAGATCTGCTGGAGGGTCAGCTATGAGTTGTTTCCAACGCAACAGCAATGAGTCTGAGATTTCTCATAAATCAGGCATTCCTCGGAGACTTCCAGATTTATGCAGAAAAATCACTTCCAGCTCATTACCTTATAGGAACCCGAGTTTATATCTTCTACCCTCACACTGGCATTAAAATTTCTGCCTTATGCTCCTGAAAGTTTTATTAGTTTTTCTGTTATAGACATAACATTTATTTTAAAAAAAGAAAATAAAACTTCCTTACTCAGTCCCCAAGTCCTCATTCTTCAAAGTTAGCCAGGTTTTTTCTCTCTGTGTATTCAGTTATAGACACCTATGCATTTTGCATATATTATAAAAAAAAGGACTTGCATCAAACACATCTTTCTATCTTTGTGGAAGTATTTCTGTATTAAGAATCCCTAAAAGTGGAATAAGGAACTCTGGTAGCTTAGTAATAAGGAGCTATATTGCCAACCCAAAGGCAGATGGTTCAAATCCCCCAGCTGCTTCCCAGAAGAAAGATGGGCAATCTCTTCTCCTGTGAATTGCTGCATCTGAAGACCTGCTGGAGGGTCAGCTATGAGTCGGTTCTGACTCTATGATACAGAGAAACCAACAACACTAGAAGTTGAATAGATGAATCAAAGAACAGACACATTTAAAAATATTCACTATCATAGCAAATAGCCTTTTCAAATTCACTCCATTTACATACTCATCAATAATGTGGATTGCTGATCAACACTACGTTGTATCAGTCTTTAATGCTTTTGCAAAACTAATGAAGGAAAATTGTTCTAGTTGTTTTAATGTCCTTTGCTATGGCAAAAAGATATGAGCATTTAAAAAATATGTTCCTAGACTTTTATGTGTTTTTTTCTTGCTAAATGCCTGTTTATGGCACTGCACATTTTTAGAGGTTTTTTAAATTTTTCTTGCTTTATAAGACTATTTGCCTTTTCATAGTCAATAAAACACAAACTGTGGCTAACTCTGAGAAGAATGGGAATCCTAGAACACTAGATCGTGCTTATGAGAAACCTGTACTTGGACCAGGAGGTAGTCGTCAGAACAGAGCAAGGAAACACTGCATGGTTCAAAATTGGGAAGGATGTACACCAGGAATGTGTCCCATCTCTATACCTTTTCAATCTATATGCAGAACAGATCATCCAGGTGGCTGGGCTGTTTGAGGAGAAATGTGGCTTCAGGATTGGAGGAAGATTCATCAACAATCTGTGTCAGGCAGGTGACACAACCCTGCTTGCTGAAACTGAGGAGGACCTGAAGCGCTTGCTGCAGAAGTTGACTGCAGCCTTCACTATGAATTGAAGGTCAACATAAAGAAAACAATGATTCTCACCACTGGGCTGACTGGCAGTATCAGGATGGATGGTGAAAA